CCAAGCCCTTACCGAAGAAATATTTTCCTTTCACTGAATGCAGAAGAGCATCATTTTAACCCTCTTCTGGCTAAATTTCACTGATTACAAAGCAGGATGAGGAGCAGGTGCTACCTCTAGTAGAAAACACAGCTGTAGTCAGTTAAAGTACACAGCTAGTTGGTCCTTGGAAGGTCACATGAAAGAGGTGGCTGGCACACACAGAGAGCTTCTCACTGTCACTTTCCTGCCCATGGGCACCATTCCACCAGGATAACCGATGCAAGAGGCACAGGGGCAGGGCATGCTGGCACCCCTCTCACCACTCCAGATCTACTTCTCACAAAACTCAGGGCTTCTGTTCCTGTTATCTCTTGCCATATGACAAATCTCCCCTCAACCTACTGTATAAACCAACTACCATTTCATTTCCCAATGTTATTCCTTTGTTGCTAGAACCTGCCAGAGAGCTCTGTACTCCACTTGACCCTGCCTGCAGCTCAGGTCATCTGGAGGCTGGATCTGGCCAGGAACTCGTCAAGGCCTCCCTCATGTGCCTGGGATGAGCTTAGAGGAGACAACTAGGAGGTGGGCAGCTGGGCCTCTCCCATTGTGGCACTGCAGGGCACTCCACCTTCAAGTGGCCTTTCTCACAGTCTCCTGGGGTGGTCTCTCTGAGGGTAGCTAGGCTTTTTTGGTTGTCCAAAAGGCAGAAACAAAAGCTACCAGGCTTCCTATGACAGGCCCAGAGCTAGTAGTATGTCAGTTTCTCACATTCTATTGATCAAAGCAAGGTACAGACCATCCTAGGTTCTCCGTGGGCAGGGACTGCACATGGGTAGCTGCAGCTCCTGAGAGAGGGGGTGCTGCCTTTGGAGAACAGCAACCATGGGTTCTCCAACTGGTGCTTCGTAAGGATACAAGACAATAACCTATGCAATGTACCATAGTCTGCTTATTTACTAATAAATGTAGGCAAAACAAAACAAACAATATAAAAATACTATGGAGCAAGAGTACGGCATTAATTTTAATACCTCTTCATTAAGGAATTGGGGAAAGAGTTAATTAGATGTGACTTAAGTAAATGTCTTTCCTCTAGTCCTTTAGTGACGGTTCCTTTGTTTTGTAGGTTTCTACCAAATGTTGAATTTCTTCTGTGATTCATATTGTTCTATTGTAATGATCATTTCCCTTCTGAGGAAACGCCAGCTCACCACCTTCTATCATTTAAATGTTGTAATTTATGTGCAGAGTCTTTGCCAAATGTCTCCTTCACAGATGCTATTATCCCTAACGGCTTCTAAATGATGTCGAAAGCCTAAGGAAGAGTGCTCTCTAGCAGACACTCTGAAACAAAATTTCTGCAAATAAAGTATCTCTAACCGTGACACTTTTTGACTTTGGAACACTGTGTCTTGTGAGCAGTTAGAAGGTTTTAGAAAGCCCTGGATTGTTGCTCAATAAGTGACTTCCAAGTTATGTAGAACCTGAAAAAGGATGCTACATAACAGGTCTTGGGCTTCCCAGCCTCCAGAATTATAATAAATATATTTCTGTTGTTTATGAAGCTGCTTAGTTTATGGTATTTCGTTACTGCAGCCAAAATTGATGAAGACAATGAGTTACCACTTGCAGAGGACATAGGACACTGAGTTTCAATAATTGTTGGTAACCGTTTTGGTATCTGCCTCAACCCTTGATTTCTTTTTTTTTCTTTCTTTTTTTTTTGGTTTTTCTCCGGTACCGGGAACCGAACTCACGACCCTGCGCTTGCCAGGCAGGCGCTTTTTGCCGCTGAGCTAAATCCCCAGCCCCTCAACCCTTGATTTCTAACACTAAGTCTGCCTCCAAAATCCTAGTCCTAAAACTTTAGGTTACCCCAGCCATCTGCCTAAACCATTTTTCTCAGAGTTTTTGAATAAAAACATTCAATATACTTATACTTGACTATCAATGTTTGGTAGTTCTACTATCATTAAAAATGATTTTTATATTTTTAGCTGACATTATTTGTACACATTTATAGGGTACAGTACAATAATTACATGCACACGTGTAATGATCACAATCAGGGTAATTAACATTTGCATCTCTTCAGACATTCCTGAGAAACTCTGGACTCTACTAGTTATTTTGAAATATATCACAAATTATTTGAGACTGTAATTATCCTACTGTGCTGCAGAACACTAGAATTGTTCCTATCTCACTGTACTCTTGTACTTGTTATCAAACTTCTATTGCTCTTCCCCACTTCTCTTTCTAATCTCTAGGGACCATTATTCTACTCTTTTTTTCCTATGAAATGTTTTTTTCAGCTTCCACAAATGAGTGAGAATGTGTGGTATTTGTCGTTCTGTGGCTGGCTTATTTAACACGATGCCCTCCAGTTTCATCTATGTTGCTGAAAACGACAAGATTTTACACTTTTCATGACTGAAACATTGTGTATATCTATCATGATTTCTTCATTCATTCGTCAATGGACACTCTGGTTGATTCCATATCCCAGCTATTGCGAATAGTGATGCAACAGACTTGGAGTATAGGTTTCTCTTTGGTATAACGGTTCCTTTTGGATCTATATCTACTCAGACAACTGCTAGATCATTTGGCACTTCTCTTTTTACTTTTTTGAGGAACCACCACATTATTTTCCCTAGCAGCTATAGTAATTTACATTCTCACCAAAGTGTATGCCTTCCCCTTTTTTAAAATCTTCATCTGCATGTCATTTTGTATCTTTTTTTTTGGTTTTTCTCCGGTACCGGGAACCGAACTCACGGCCTTGCGCTTGCCAGGCAGGCGCTTTGCCACTGAGCTAAATCCCCAGCCCCTCATTTTGTATCTTTTTTATAAAAGCCATTTTAATTTGGTTGAGCTGATATCCCACTGTGGCTTTGATAACCATTTGCTGGGATTAGTGATACTGAGCATTTCCCTATATATTTGTTGGTCATTTGTATATTTTATGAGAAATGTCTGTTCATATGACTTACTCATTTTTAAATCATATTTTTTGCTGTTGTTTGAGTTCCTTATATATTCTGGATATTTATCTTTTGTCAGATGAATAGTTTGCAAATATTTTATCCCATTCTGCAGGTTGTCTCTTCACTCTAATCATTTCCTTTACTGTGCAAGAGCTTTCTAATTTGATATAATCCATTTGGCTATTTTCATTTTTCTTGCTTGTGCTTTTGGGGTCTTAACCAAAAAAATCTTTGTCCATACCAGTGTGGTGAACATTTGGCCATCTGCATTTCTATCATCTTACTTTGTGTTTTTCAGTATGTCCTCCTTTCAATCTCCTTTTTACTTCCTTAATGGCCTCTTTTAGGATTTATTATTTAGGACTTTTCCCTTCCTATTGGTTTCCAAGTTACACATTTTCTTTCTAAGTGGTTACATTTTAATAAGTATACTTTACTAATCAAAATCTGAGTCCTTTACTGCCTTTTTCTTTCCTCTACAATACAGAATTGGGAAAACTTTCACTATTATCACCTATCTCCTGACTTATGCACAATTGCATATTTCAGGTTTTTTTGTTTTTATTTTTACTTTTTCTAACTCTCAAGGCTTTGTTGGTATTAGTTTGTACAGATGCTGTTTTGTTCAGATTTTAAAGTTAATTTTTATTCATTTCTAAAATCTACTTGGTCAACTGTATGGCCTTTGTTCTTACATCTTCAACCTCTTCTACTTATTCACACACATTCTGCATTTGATGATTCAGAGTCTGCGTATCTAATGTTGCTATTAATTGCTTTTTTGCTGACTTCTACTCATGTTGCTTTGTTAAACTTTCAATTCATGATTGGTGAGTTTTTGCACCTGTATCTTGGAAATGACATGTGTACTTATTTGAATCTATGTAGAAAATGGAAAATGAATTCCTCCAAAGAGCAGGATTTGCTGCTGTCTCTCTGGATGTCTGGTAGAATTACTAACCTAACAGTACTTTAAATCAAATCTTGCTTGAGGCTTTTGTAAGCACCCTAAATAAATCTTTCTTTCTGCATGCTTACATGATGTCAGGATTATGATTTGAAAAATCAAGGTAACTTAATCCGTTCAAATTTCTAGTCAGCCTATTTTGCTCACAGGGCCACATTCAGAGGCAGATTCATGGCTTATTCACTTTTTTAGGTGAAACTGTCATGTATCATCTGTATCATTTGGAAAGAGAAATTTTGTGTGGAAATTTTACTGAATTTTATTTTGGTTTTGGAAAGTCAGCATCATCTGTGGTGTGGTTGCCCCAGACACACTTTCAGGGAGTGCAGCAAACAGGTCGGTCCCAGATTCTCCTTGCTATTCCTCATGCCCATTCCAAGTAGAATTCAAGTCACACTTGAGATGAAGTTGCCTGGGGAGAGCATCTTCAGTGTAGCTCTACTGATGGCCACAAGCTATCCTTCAGCTGAACCAGGATGGATTTACTGTCTCCCAGCATCATGATACTGGCTCCACTCTCACCATCTCTCCATCTGCTTGATTATTCGATTGGACTCCTTCTCTCTGCTCAAGGTTTCCACCTCTCTCTCTCTCTCTCTGGGAACAAGGGTTATACCATACCTGAAGGGCTCCCCTCCTTCTATATCCCCTATCCAAGAAGTCATCTTGAACAGCAGCTGGTCCCATGAACTGTTCCCTGATCGGGACTGGGCCCAGCTCATGGCCTCCTAACCTCAGTCTACTTAAGCACTGTCTCCATGATGCAAGCTAGGCAGCCTCCTCTTTTTTCTTCTCATTTTTTTTCCTTCCTTAAAAGTGTTTTCTTTCACATTTTTGTTCACATGTTTAATCCAGCACCCTATGGTTATATGTAAAATGTCATGGTCACATCTTCCTTGGTAACAACTCAAATCCCCACCCACATTTTGCTAGTTTGGGAGTCCAGAATTGAACTGAGATGAGAGCCAGGCTCAGAATGGACAGAATATTCTTTGCACAACCTCCCCACATCCCTATCCAACCCTTTAATCCTCTGTGATTTTTTTTTCCACTTCTAGTCTAAGAGTTCCAGAAGCAAACCTGGAGGTGAGACGTGAAGAAAGTCAAAGCCATGCCAATGTTGTACATTACCAAGAAGCAGATTCTGTCTCTGAGACACCCACCATCAACGTAGATGAGGAAGATGGGGGTCTCCAAGTCTGCCGAGTATGTGGGGACAAAGCCAATGGCTATCACTTCAATGTCATGACATGCGAAGGATGCAAGGGCTTTTTCAGGTAGAGTTACACATCAACTGCATTCACCTGCCACCACTGACACACTGGTTCCCTCCTAACAGGGAGCTGCTGTCAACCCTGGGTAGTCCAAGAGCCTCAGTTTGATCTGTCTGCCAGGTCTAGACTGTGGGTTGGTGGCCTACTAAGTCCTCCTAATCAGCCTCAAGTGCAGCATTTATATCTCAGGGGAATCTTTTGTCTTCAAATCTTCCTGAGTCTACCATGGAAAGATCACCTTCTATTGTAAAGCATCCCCCATGTGTTCTTGAATAAAAGATCAGCCAGTAAAAGATTTGAAAATTCAAAGTGCAAGTGTTCAAGTCAATCTTATAGGGCCGTAGTTAAGTAAAGAATGGCACAGAAAAATAAAACATAAATCAAGCTTACCTAGAAACAAGGGAATTCAAAAATTAAACAGCAGAATGTTCCAGTATACAGCAAAGCAGGACTGGACAGGAGGATCCTGTTGTCCAGCTGGAGAAACGGAAAGACAAAGCTAGCTCAGCAAGGCAAGCCTCAGCAAAGACTCAGCCTGAGAAAGGAGGGGAGGAAGGAGTGGCTGGGCATGTAGTGCCTACCCTAAGGCCACCTTTGGGACTTCTGAGCATTCCCAACATACCAACCTATGCGGCCCTTTGCAGAGGTCTTCCTTGTAGCTGGACATTCAAATGGAAGTGAACCCTAACCCAAGGTGCCACCCTACAATCCCAAAGATGGGGCGCTGGCCTGAGAGTTAGGAATGGAGGATTCAGCTGTTGGCCCCAAGGACCCACAGAAAGACTTCCTGGCCTGGCAGAGCCCAGGAGGTGCTGCAGTGGCCTCTGTATTAAGAGTTCAGTGTCACCAGAGTGTAGAAATCCCAGCTTCAAGCCAAGCCTGAGCCACTGTCAGGTCTTGTGGTTAACTCTGCCTAGGGTAGGTCCAATAAGTGCTAGTCACATGGGCTATCACAGGGGTGAGACCTGACACAGTCAGGCTATGGGTGGCTACAAGTCACAGAAAAACTGGTTCAAACTGGCTTAACAATAAGGAAAGTATGCTGCAGTTCACAGCAAGAAATCTGAAGGCTTTCATGCTGGTGAGTTCTGCCGCTCAGGTCTTTGCCTTTTCCTCTTCTGCCGTCTTACTGGAGAGCTCCCTTGGAGCCCAGGTCCTAGGCAACAACCATGATGTTTAGCCGAGGAACAAAAAAGCTCATCTCTTCTTCCTCCAAGGGCAGGACAGCTGTCCTGGAGGGGCCCTTCACATAGCATGGGTTGGAGCTGGCCCTAGCAACTGCTCTTAGCAGTAGCCACTACATCCCGAGCTAGCACAGGCCCCATGGCCGCATGGGGTCAGGAGCACATCTGAACCACACCTGGGTTCCCGTAGCAGGGAAGAAGGCATCTGAGGTGTCATCCAAGCAGTGCTGACTTGGGTGCGGGGTGCCTTGCTCTCTCCTTCCCATTCAGCGCTACTCCTCGCATTCTCAGAGGGAGGCAACGTATCACAGCGGCAAGGAGCTTGGGTTCAGTACCATGCAGACCTGGACTCATTTTGTCTCCTCATTTACCTGGAAGACTGGTGATCTGTCTGCTCAAAGCCTCAGTTTTAGGCATCTGTGCCAGGCAGATAAGAGGATAAATTTCAGTTCTGAAGAGTAAATTTGCAAAGCTCTGCAAGATTTCTAGCTTAGAATTTACGTAGTATGCCTCTAATAGATGCGGCCTCCCCCTCCCCCTCCCCCTTTCTCAGTACACTCGAGTAGCATCAGGGGTCTCTTACCCAGGCCAGCAGGAGAGGCGAGTGTGGGGGAGTGCGGCACCTGTGAAAAAGATGTTTCTTAGGATGGTCACCTGGTCAGGGAGCTCAGGCATCGGAGTTCAAACCTGTGGGTCACCACGAGCACGGCTCGGCCACTGGTCCAGCCCTCAAGGACGGCTAGCAGCCTCCCTGACGGATGCCATGTTTCCAAGCCAGCGTCCTCATTTTCCAGGCTGTTTCATTCCCTCCAAGTGTGGAAGTGAAGGGACTCCAGGCTAGGGCTGCACAGGCAGGGGCTTTAGTGGGAAGTCTGTGACACCTGGGCGTGGGGAGACAGTGCTTGTGCCAGAGTCTCCCAAAGGCTACCAACCCACCGCCTGCCACCTTCAGGCATCTGTGCAGTGGTCTGTGGCCCAACGCCTGCCACTCCTCTGTCACAGGCCTCTGAACCTCTTTGCCTCCTGGGTCCGTACCTGGAACCAACTCTCCAATGGGGAGATCATCGACTAGTGAGGTAGAAAAACTTCCTCCCACCTTGCAGCTTTCTCCCACTGCCCCTGGCCCCCCAATCTAGAGTGACAGCAGCTCCATGGTGGGGGCTGCTTTCGTTGCATATATTCCGGGGGTCAGATTCCACCTCCTAGAAGGCGTTCAGGGCTGGACTGGGACTCAGCCACGTTCATGGTGATCCATGAACTTCCCTCCAAGGGACGCTGTCCAGTACCAACTGCGGAGGACGAGGGGCAGGCGCTTGGGGAAGAGGCTGGAGTCCGTTGTTCAGAACGGCACCATGTGTCGGAAACACCCCTGCCCGGGGAAGCCCTAGCGTGGCCTCCCTTCACTTCAGACAGCGTGAACAACGGCGAAGCTGGCTTGGAATCCGCATCAGTCTGGGAGGCTGCTGGCCGGCCTTGCGGGCTGGACTGCAGGCCGAGCCGTGCTCACGGCGACCCGCACGCTGACCCTCCTCCCCGCTCCCGCTCCTCCACCTCGGTCCACGACCCTGCCGAGGAGGCCTCGCCCACGCCTTCCTCGACCTGGCCCGCTCGGCGGCAAAGGCGCGGCGCACGGAGCTTGTGACTAGGTCGCCCGTCCGCTGCCGAGAGGCCGTGAGAGAGCGGCAACAGGGCCCGAGCCCCGGCCTAGAACCGGGCCGTGAAATCCGCCTTCCGCTTCCTCCCCCGCAGGCGGGCCATGAAACGCAACGCGCGGCTGAGGTGCCCCTTCCGCAAGGGCGCGTGCGAGATCACGCGCAAGACGAGGCGGCAGTGCCAGGCCTGCCGCCTGCGCAAGTGCCTGGAGAGCGGCATGAAGAAGGAGAGTGAGCGGCGGCGGGGTCTGGAGGGGGTGGACGGCGCCGGTTTCTCTCAGCGGCCCCTGCACCATTGCTTGCGTTCCTCCCTCTCCTCCTGGGAGGGCGACCCCGTGTGCGTGTGCGTGCGCGTGCGTGCGTATGTGCGTGCGTGCATGCGTATGTGCGTGCGTATGTGCGTGCGTACGTGCGTGCGTGTTGGGATGCACGTGTGCTGAGCCTGCCCCACTGTGTCTGGCAGTGATCATGTCCGAAGCGGCCCTGGAGCAGAGGCGGGCCTTGATCAAGAGGAAGAAGCGGGAACGGGTGGAGACCCAGCCGCCCGGCGTTCAGGGGCTCACGGAGGAGCAGCAGAGGCTGATCAGGGAGCTGATGGAAGCTCAGATAAAAACCTTCGACACCACCTTCTCCCATTTCAAGGACTTCCGGGTAGGGGGCCCCCTGGGCTTTTCACTGCGTGGTGCTGAAGCTTGGACCCTCAGTCTCCCCTGGGAACTTGTGAGAAATGCAAATTTCTCACCTTTCATCCCTGTTAGAAACTGAGGTGGCGCACGACACCTGATGATTCCAATGTAGGCTCAGGTTTGAGAGTCTCTGTTGTCCTGCAGCAGCAGCATTAACAGTGAAGTGAAGAGAAAGCTGAAATGTTCTGGTCTTTGTGCTGGCTTTTAGGGCTTTACAGGACAGCGTCAGGACTCAGGGGTGGCGCGACCTCTGTGGACAGGTGTTCCTTCAACGATGGGCTCAGCTGCTAATGGGCTTCCTCCCTGGATGCGCACAGGTGTCTCGGGTGACCTGCCCAGCTCAGAGACCTGGGTTAGACCAGGCCCCTTGGCTCTGTTCTTTGCCTCTGCAGCTCCTTGTCTTTCTCTCTGTCTTCTGAGCGCAACAGCAAGGATGCTTGTGACAAATAGGGGAGGAGGACGCCTCCGTTTCCATTCTGACTATGCAGAGATTGTGTGACCATTACCTCATAGATCTACAAAGCACCACTTGATAGGTGATGGCTAGATGGAAGAAATGAGTACTGTGTGTGCACATGTGAAATGCCTAGGACTGTGTATGTTCTTAGCTACAGGCGGCCATCTGGGGTCTGTGTGAAAGTGCATGCTGTCCGTCCTCTCTCTACTCCCGTCTTACATTGCAGCTGCCAGAGGTGTTTGGCAGTGGGCGTGAGATGCCACAGTTTCTACAGACCCCACTGGAGGAAGACAAGTGGAACCAGATCAAGAAAGATCTGTGTACTGTGAAAATCTCTCTGCAGCTGCGGGGAGAAGATGGCAGTACCTGGAACTACAAACCCCCAGATAACAGCGACGGGAAAGAGATCATTTCCCTGCTGCCCCACCTGGCTGACCTGTCAACCTACATGTTCAAAGGCGTCATCAATTTTGCCAAAGACATCTCCCACTTCAGGTAGGAAATGGGGCTGGGCAGATAGATGTGGAAAGGAAAAGGAAACGACCAGTTGTGTTCAAAGGATCTGGGTAAGTCTTTCCAACCTGTCATGTAACCTGCTGTGTCTCAGGGTCCCCATCTGGAGATAGGAACTAATCACACCAATTTTATGGGGCTATCATATGAAATAAGAAAGTTTCTGAAGAACATCTAGCTCATGGTGAACATCCAGATAGTAGTTCCCTTCCTGGTTTCCCCCTGTATGGGCCAGAATAACAAACTACTCTGACAGTTTCAGAGCAAAGGATGAGTTGGAAGGAAAAAGAAGGAAGTCCACAGAGAGAGAGAAGATAGGAAGGAGAGGAATGGATCCTGGACCTCCAGCTATCTGCAGCCAAGAGAAGGCTGAGTGGACCATGGGGAGGATGGGTGATCCTGAGAAGTCCAAAGGACCAGGTCTCCCAGAGCTGGGCGTGAGAGCAACAACCATGACAGCTGGGGTTGGTGGGAGGCCTGAGACTGCCCTGGTCTAGTGGGAGCCACAGCGCCGTAAGATGTAGTCCGTAAGCCTGGAGAAGGTGCTGGGGGGTCTTTGACCTTGGGTTGGCCTCCTTGCCTTGCTGAGCTTGGTCAAGTGGAACTGACTCACACATGTCAGGAGCACAAACTTCATTGGCAAGCAGAGGGCAGCTCATATTCCAAAAGCCCCCTGGTTTTCCTGTGCCCCTGTTATGACAAGCAGGACTTACTTAATAGTGAAGGGTAGCAGCGGGCTGGGGTGGGTTCAGGTTGTGGTGAATTAGGTCAAGGAAAAGGAAGAGAAGTCTACCTGCTGGTGTGGACATGGGTGGCATCTGTTGATCCACAAGTGAGCACCACAGTGTGTGGTCACTTGCTTCTTTTCATGACCCTAGGTACCACTGTCACTTTCTCTCACAGGTAGAAATTAAGGTTTGCTAAGAGTAAGGAAAGCTTTCAGCTGATCAGTGGAAGAGGGCAGATTTGGAAGTACAGATTTGGAAATAAGGGACCTGAATGCCAAGCTGGGTGAGCATTGAGAGTCCCTGACAGTAGCAGGAGAAGAGAGGAGCATAATGGGAGTCACCTGCTTGGCTGAATTGTGATGGGGAGAGATTGGAGGCAACCAGGAAGCAACTGCAGTGGTCCTTAGGGGAAGGCATCCATCTTACCTCTGTCCTGCCCATCTGTGGGCGCTTCTCTGGAGCTGTCATCCCCTCCCTATGCTTGTTGTCAGGGACTTGCCCATCGAGGACCAGATCTCCCTCCTAAAGGGGGCCACCTTTGAGATGTGCCTACTGAGGTTCAATCCAACGTTCAACGAAGAGACTGGGATCTGGGAGTGTGGTCGGCTGGCCTACTGCTTCAAAGACCCTGAAGGTGCCCAAGGGATACCTGGTGGAGGGAGGGAAGCACAACAGTTGTGGATGGAAGGAGCCATGCCAGGATTTGCCTGGGAGTGCCAGGGAGAAAGATGGGGTGATGGAAGAAATGACCTTGGCGATGAAGGCTGGATCCAGGGTCACCTTCCTGAGATCCTGCCTTTGCATCCCATACCTGCCCACAGGTGGCTTTCAGAAACTTCTCCTGGATCCCATCATGAAGTTCCACTACACGCTGAAGAAGCTGCAGCTGCATAAGGAGGAGTATGTGCTGATGCAGGCTATCTCCCTCTTCTCCCCAGGTGATGGCCTCCCCCAGGCCAGTGACACCCCCTCTGCTTGGTCTGCAGAGGTAGCAACTTTCTCCTGTCCTCCCCAGGGAAGGTTCCAGCCAATAGTCTTGCTCCCCACTTACTGCTCAGCCAGGGTAGGATGCTGGCTGGTTTTCCCTGGGGTCAGTGGGGTGTTTGGAGCTCTAGTGCTCCCTCCCTGCCCTGTTTGAATGACTCTGCCTCAGAAGATGGTTGGTTAGAAATTCCCCTCTTGGGGGACACTGAGCCTGTCCTTGTTCCTCCCTGCCCTCGCTGGCACCTCACCCTCTCCTACCCTGCTCCATCCCAGACCGCCCAGGTGTGATGCAACGTGCAGTGGTGGAACAGCTGCAGGAGCGATTTGCCACCACCCTGAAGGCCTACATTGAGTGTGTCCGGCCCCAGCCTGCACACCGGTGAGCACAGCAAGGAGGTGATGTGTGAGGGTGTGAGTGTCCTCCCTGTGGCCCTGCCTGGCCTCTGGTCTGCCCTCCAGGCCCTACCTGCACCAGCCTCTCTAGCCACGGCCCTTCATAACCACAGTGATGGTAACGATAGCAGAGATGCCAATAGTGATGGGAATCATAGATCTGTAATTGCTAGCTTATTGGGACATGCCAGCCCTGGTGCCCAGTAGTCAGTGTGCCTGATCTCCTTCAGTTCTCCACACAAGGGATGGGTGCCAGTGCCCCTGGGCATGGGAGCCAAGGTTTGCAGCAGTTTCCCAGTGTTCCCCAGCCAGAGGGGCAGTGGCTGGCAGTGGACCCAGCCAGACCACGCCCAGAGCTGAAGCTCTTAAATACTTCCTACAGGTTTCTCAGCAAGAACACAAACTGGGGGTAGGAAATTCTGTTTCTTGTTCTGGTTATGACTCAAAACAAGAAGGCTGCTTGAGACTTGATGTAGACAGGGGCTTTTCCAGCTTCATTGATTCTGAGTCCCTGTGACCTGGCGCGTAGTCTGATGCCCACGGGCCCCTGGACAAGGACAAACTTGGATTGTAGTGAGTTGTGGATATCACAGTGTGAACTTGAACCTTAAATCCTCCCTTGGCCTGCACTTTCTGGTTCAGCATCCTGGGATGCTGTGGGGGCCATGTCTTCATTTGCTTAGTCCTCCCCTGTATGAAGCCAGGAGGCCTGGAGGTGCCGGCTCTCTTTTCCTTCATGGAGGAACAGAGGCACATGGTATGTCCAGACTCTAGATCCAGAGTGGGTCCGGGAAGAGATTTCAGCCTGTCCTTATACCCTCCACCTTCCTTAGCTCAGCCCTGGCTCTTGGTATTAACCAAGACAGTGCACCTCCCTGTGCCCCAAAATTAACCCGTGTACTTGGTACCTGCAAGGTGTGGAATATCTACCTAGGTCTGCAGATGCAGAAACTCGAGCCCTGTGGACAGATGTGAGCAGAGAGAGTACAGCTCCCACTTCAAATACCTCTTGAGCACAGCCCCATCTCTTCTTGGCTGACCTGAGATGCCCTGAGGTTAAATTTGTAAACCCTCGGGGCAGCGTCAGGGCTGCACACCAGGGGAGGGCGGCCTGCACCCCAGCCTCTCCTCTGGTGGCTACAGGTTCCTGTTCCTGAAGATCATGGCCGTGCTCACCGAGCTGCGCAGCGTCAATGCCCAGCACACCCAGCGGCTTCTGCGCATCCAAGACACGCACCCCTTTGTCACTACGCCCCTCATGCGGGAGCTGATAAGCAGCACGGATGACTGAGTGGTGGCCCTTGGGTGGAGCCTCGGTGGGACAGCCAGACTCCGAGCGCTCTGAGATGCCACTTCTGAGGCTGGATGGATGGACAGTGCTGACAGCTGACCACAGCAGAGTGGCATTCCTTAGGCACCCCATCCCCCAGTTCAGTCTGTAGAGAGGGAAGCCATGGATCCTGTATGGAGAGCACACTGGCCTACAGGTCAGGCCCACCGGAGAAGCAGGGCTGTGCTTCCCTTAGAGAAGGCCCTGTGGTCTGGGAATAAATCCCGAAATCCCACTAAAGTGCCATGTGGGACAGGGAAAGGAGTGATGGGGCTGAGCCCCGACAGCACCCATGTCATACCCATGTTCACTGGCTGGAGTCTCTTGCTACCTCTAACAGTCCTGCCTCCCCCTTCCCACCCACTGGACCAACCCCGATCTTCCCCGCTAAGCTGCTGTTGGGCTGCGGTTCCAGGCCTGTGCTCATCAGCAGGTGCACTGGTGTCTGTGGGAGTCTTCTAGAGAAGCCAGGAGGCCTGCACTGTGTCAGAAGCTTGTGGTGACCTCATGTTGGGTCTCTGCATCCACTCAAGCACATTATTAAGTACCAGCATGCTGTGGGATATATACTATTGACGCAGATGTGGACTTGACCTCAGAGCTTACAGTTAAGAAAACAAAGCTGGAACACAACACGGATCAAAGGGGCAAGTGAAGGGCTGGGGATTTACCTCAGCGGCAAAAGCGCCTGCCTGGCATGCGCAAGGTCATGAGTTTGGTTCCCGGTACCGGAGAAAAACCAAAAAAAAAAAAAGACAAAGGGGCAAGTGGCACTTGACATACACCCAGGGAATGTCTCTGAGTGGACACTGACTGCACTGGAGATCTGGGGGTACCTAGGGCCACAATGAGGGTTCTGAGGACCTGTTTCTGGGAGGAAGGGGTGGGAACCGTATGGTTTGGTATGGGCAGTCTGCTCCCCACCGGACTGGGTCCTGGCTTTGCCCCTGAGGGGGAAACACTGAGGTGCTTGGTGACATGGCTGTGGTGACTGTTGGCTAATAAACATGCTAGAGGAGAATCATTGTGTGCGCTGGTATTCCTGTATATATACCTGCTAAAAGATGTGAAAGTGTTCATAATTACACTTTGTTCATAATTATGATTAAACATTTTTTGCATTCTCACAAGTTAAGACTTTAGTTTTACATAAGGCATTCTCTACAGGAGCAAATATGTTCCTGGGTATGTTGAATCCAGGCAAGAGGATTTAAATGATGAACTTTAGGTTAGAGATGTAAACATTTTTGGCTTTTTCTGGAGAAGAAAGAAATGTGGGAGGGGAGAAATAGAAATAAAAACAGCACATTTTTTTATTACTGATTTTATTATTGCTCTTTACCTTTCTGAAGACTTGTGGTGTAAGAACATAACAATGAATTATTTAACTTGGTTTGCTGGTAAGATAATCCACATAAAAATTTAAAGTATACATGTATCATAATTAAAAATGTAGTTGAATTACTCTTAAATATCTAATATTTGGTTGCAAATGAAAGCACAAGGCAGGTGAATTTTAAGGAACAGATAAATGGCTCATGCCATTTTACAAGCAGCACAAACAATAAGAAATCATCAATAATATAAATAAAAAAGTATCAAATATACATCAAAGCAGACATGTAACCCTTCAGATATATCAGTCTTTTGTGCATCAGGCACTCATTTGTAGAAAAGAAACTGAGGGCTAACTCTGTAAGCCCAATGAATATAGCTTTTGTTCTTAGGAATTCTACCTAATTACTTATAATTAGAAAATGTTTCTCATTTAGAAATATAAATTTCATTCAACTATGTTCACAAGTAATATAGGCATCTCCTTTTGCCCAGGGAAATAACTTTGAATTCTGTTTATTCTGGAGCCCGACACTGTTGCTAGATGCAGGTTAGGGTAAGATGAGGTTAAGGGGAGATCGAAACACGTAGGTATTTTTCCAAAGATTGAATTGATATGTATATGATTTATAGGGATTGTGTAAATTTTAAATCCAGACTGATTTAAGATGCAAGATTAGTTGAAGAGCTCACATCGGATACTTCCTTTTAATAGTTCGTTGGGTCTTGGCGATAGGACCAGGAGCCAGATTCAATTCACCTAATCTCAAACATTTGCGTTTCCTCATTACTGCTTTCCCTGAGCTTTTCTGAGAAGTAGAACTGAGCATCAGTTTCTGGGTATCTGTGGTCACTGTTCACTCTAGTCCTGGTTGTCAGGAGAGGGTGGAGTCAGTCTCCAAAGCTCAAGGTGATACAGGAAAAATGTAACTCCCAACGTGTTAGGCATCAACTATGCTGAGTTTGTGGTCTCACATTGAGGATGAAGCCAAAGGAAGAAGTTAGAAGGGGTTTTTTTTGGGCAGGGAGGGGGTACCAGGAGTCAAACTTAGGACTTCCCTCTTGCCAGGTAGATGCTGTGGCCACTGAGCTAAATCCCTGGCCCAGGAGTTTTATGGTAAATAAGGGGAAGTAATTTAATAGCTCCTGGATTTCCAGGAAGGGTCCTGAACAGGTGGCCCCTGAGGCCCTCTGCTGGGGCTAGTTTATATGGCAAAGTCAGTGTGGGTACCACATGGTAAAAACTACAATCAACCTATAGGATTACAAGTATAGCTGCTTAGCTAATACAGCTCCAACAGGGAAATGAGTCAAGTAGCAAGAGAACATGGAAAGAACAGAGGCATTTGGGGGAAGGAAGGGGAGTATGGGTCTGCTGTTCTAGTCACCCATGCGTGTGCCTCATGCCTGGCTGGGCCCACCGGCCCCAGTATAACCTCAAGTTGTTCGCTTTGCAGGCCTGGCTCTGCACCGCTGTTCTCAGCACTGGCTTGCCTATTTGCTTCTAGCCACAACTCTGGTGTCTCTTATTTTTTGTGCTTTCTCGAGGACCCAATCCCTGACTGCATATTTGTTTCTGTCTTAGCTGTCTATAGAACAAGGGGTCAAGGCCTAAGCCAGCTACTGCACACCTTCTGTCTGCCGTCCGTCTCTGGCAGCCTGTCCCCGACTTGACCTGAAGCCTTGACACAGGGAACACATCTTCATTTGAAAGACCCACAGTGTTCTCACCTTTCTGGAGAAAAGAGCTTGTAAAGAGAAGCCTTTTTATCAGCTTGCTCTTCCTAGACCCAACTTGTCAGTCTCATCCTGCCATCTCCCACAGCAGCTGGTCTTTCCCTGTATTTACTCACAACCTTCCTAAGTCTGATGGTGCCGATGGGTGGTTTAGTTATCTCCACACCTGAGACAGGGGTGACCATCCATCCCTTTTGCTTTCTTTCATCAAGGCACACACTATCTACTTCCTGAACCATGATCCCAAAGGACTCCTTCATCACATTTTGGAAGGACTTAGAAACCAAATAGGGAGTCTTTCAGGATTCTAAATTGAAAGAACATCTTACAGGACATTTAGTTCAATAGCTAAGACAGGACCTAAACAAGATACCAAGTTGCAAACAAGTGGACTTCAATGCCACCACGAGGCTGATACCATCCTCCTCCTGCTGGTCCAGCTCCCTGCCCCCATAGTGCCTTTTGCCACTTTAAAAACGTGAATCAGGGGGCTGGGGATTTAGCTCAGCGGCAAAGCGCCTGTCTGGCAAGCGCAAGGTCGTGAGTTCGGTTCCTGGTACCGGAGAAAAACAAAACAAAAAAACAAACAAACAAAAAAAAAAACGTGAATCAGCCCACCCCACCGCCTCAGTAAACAGAGGACCAGACTTTGTGGAATATAAATTTGTTTTTATTGAAGCAGCAGTCACATGACCTTATATCTAGCCTTTAGATCAGGCCTGACAGAGTGAGTCAGCCCTAAAAAAAATGTTTCTTTTTGCACTAAGAGACATAACATGTTTACATACACCATCCAATATTGGAAATGAGCAGACTCAAACACAACATATTGGTTACCTGGGAGGGACAGCCCCCATTTGTGGTATTCATGTATTTTACAGAGATCCCCAAAGATCATTACTAATAAAATGAAAAAGAAAATACAGCTACACCAAACTACGAAAATAGTAACCAAAGACAGCAGCTTATACATGTTTTTACAACTCTTTTAGGGCTGTTTTCTCTCTTCAAAGCAGTGTCTGCAAAACTTCCTTTACATTGACTCCAAAGGTTTCCAAGCTGGAAGCTGCACCTCTTGTGGCTATAATAGCAGAGGAAGGTCATTTGAAAGAACGTGACTTGGTGTTCACACCTTGATTTTTGTAACAAATATTCATGTTTCCATCATTAGAGGAATGGAGATGGTGACTTACATAGTGCAGTGGCAAAACTGGGTGAGGAAGGAGGGATGGGTACTGAAATAAAGACCACACACTTGGGAATTTTAGTTTCATTTCCAGGCTAACCTACTTTTTATTTAATGCAAATTACAGTACCAGTTAACTATTTCCAAACCAAGTCACATAGAACGAAATGTATTTACAAGGGAATGGGAGAGGGAAAAAAAACATTGAGCATACTTTTCACAAAAAGTTTATATTTAAAATGAAAAAAAAATTCAGTCACAGAGGCATTCAAGTAGTAATAATGTTATACAGATTTTGCTTTTCCTTTATATCAAGACAGATTTGCACAAGTGTTTGCAATAGTTTGTATACAACCCACAGTCCTTTATATATATATATATATATATATAATAATAAATTTGTTTTTTAGATTTGTTTTTAAGATGGAAGTGGTCACGCTAATTGGTATGTGTACAGGCCCAAGTGATCCATCGGCAACACATTTATAAATGCAAATTTTACAGGCAAGCACATTTTCATACATCTATCTGTTATCTGCCTGAAGACAGATATAGTAAGGAAAAAAAAAAAAACACCAAAAAATTAACACAAGGAAGTCTACTTTGTCAAGCTAACCCCTTATGTACTGGTTGTCATTTTGCTTTTACTGCAGAGGTGCAAAACGGAGCAACGAAGTTGAATAAAACAGCTTGACCCTTGTGAAAATAATCCAAACCCCAGGGATTACTTTCAAAGCCTCTCAAAGGTAGACCTTAGTCTGGGACTACTGTGCTTCTAGTTGTCTCTTGTTTTTCAGTGGCTCAGGTTTCTACCAGGAAAGACATATTTATTGTAAAGCATGCTTATTTTTCTACATAGGAGAGAAAAGTGTTTGTCTCTGTGATTAGATTATCACTAACATGAATAGGAATCAGATAACGATTTTGGTTTAAAACAAAAAAAGCCCCCAATTCCTGGGGATCTGGCATTGGCCAAGCTTCCTTTGGAAGATTCCAAAGTTAAATCCTTTAAAAAGGAAAGGGAAAAATAAATGAAATGCCAGTGTCTTTATATCCACAGGAATAGAGAATACAACAGTCCTCTCAGAAACCTTTGCATTGGTGCAGACAAAGATGACTAGTTAGGCATACTTTGTTAAAACACAAACTTAGATGGGTCTAAAACTTAAGAGAACTTTAAAAATGACACAACCTGTCACTGGAAAGAAGGTGCAGTCTTCTGCCTTGCTGGAATGAATGCATGATGTTTCAAAAATAGTAACCTTTGGTTTGGTATTTTTTTCTTCTATTCAAGACATTTTATATGGAGTACTTGGAGGCAAAACAAATACTTTATTTTTTTCTTTCAAAAAAGGTCTACATGTTGGGCACACAGTACAAAACTGATTTTTAAAAGAAATTAAAATGACATTTCATTGAATAGGGGTAGAGATGGCAGGAGAGGGGGACGGGCTAAGAGTCCCCATGTTAAAACAGCAGTCCTCTATGTGCACAGACACACTCCAGGCCACAGACTGCCAGCAACTGTACTAGGGCATTTTAGACCACTGAGGTATCAAAACTCGATACTGTGAAGATACCTTGATTTATAAAAAACTAATCATTTCTCTCTTTCTCTTTCCTTTGGGCAGGAGGGAGACAGAGGGGGAGGGAGGGAGGGACACAGAGAGAGAGAGACCTACCATGGAAGGCTCCCTAGTCTGCTGTTAAGACCCGTGGTTAGGGCTTGTGGAAGAGACGAGCAAAATCTAATCTATTTGATATCCTCCAGCTCTAGGGCTCCCAGTACTAAGCCCCTGAATGGACCAAGTATGAAATGAAACCGGTCACTGCTGAAGAGGAAGCAGACATTCAAAACTAAAACAAAGCCAGGGCTTGAAGTGAGATTATGAACATGGTTTCCTCTTCCCACTCCTGAGCATGGCATCACCGAAATGGTTGTGGAGGGGCAGGATACTGCTGTGAGTTACTATTGTGAAACAGAAAGGGGATGCACAGGGAGACATGGATAAAGGAAACCAATGGAAATTCTAAAAAGGAAAAGTAAAAAACAGAACAAAACAAAAAACCAAAACACATGGAAGCGAAGGCACTCCAAACTATATAGATACACTATACATTGCTAGAGTTATTGTTACAATAATACAGGCCGGTACCTACTGTACAGATTAAAACTATATGGCTTTAAAAAGCTCGTCTACATTTTGTCTGATTATTAAACAGAATCACTCCCCTGAACAGTAACTTTTTGCTCATTCATAACAGTTCCTGGGTCCACATATTTACATACAAAACAATAAAACTTAAAAATATTGAAAAAAAATATAATGTACAAGCTTGAATTTGGTGAGGAGCTTTTAATTATTATTATTATTTACAAAAAGATATTCAGAGACCTGGCTCTCACTTGTATAAAAGTTCTGTGATCCCGCCATGATTGAGAAGGAAAAATTGTGCATCTCAGCCTACACACACACACACGCACACGCACACGCACACACGGAGGGGGGAGAAAAGCACCTGACTTTTCTCCTTCTCTCATTCCATTTGGGGGTGGGTAAAAGTCTTCTAAAACAAGCACTGATTTTTATGGACTCCAGCAAGTATACCAAGCCCCAAGTAGTGTCTGTACCCAAATGTCTGGCTGGCTGATTTGATCTGAAAGCAGGTCCGTTTTCCTGTCACAGACCTGCCTGCTGAGATTCTGCAATAATCTTTTCTAAAAATGGTCTATGGAAGCCAATCCCTTTCGGGAACTATGCTGCCAATACTCTGATTTCAGACTTTTTTCAAGTCCTCATTAGCTCTCAGAAGCACTTTATAAAAAGTAAAATGAAATTTGATTTGGTTTGACTGAGCATGTCTCCTTTCTCACGCACTGTGGTATAACCAGAGGTTTCAGAAGCCCCTTCCGTTGCCTACGCTTAGCTAAACAGTGAGTGAGAACTAAGATGGCTCACAGCTGTCTTTCTGCGTACTGATTCACTTCAACAGGCAGCATGACTCTCTTCACAAACAGGGTGAAGAAGCAGGGCAGAGTCCTAGGGCCCGCGGGAGGCCTGCCAAGAAGCTCTACTTCCTAACCACCTGGAAGGCGAGCCGCCCTAACACGATCTCAGGTTGCAATGACAAGGGTGACGGGCGGTTCCACACATCCTAGGGCTCAGCTCTTAGGTCTACAGTTACCAGCTAACCCTGGAAGGTGTGTGAAGGAGTGGGTAGGAGGGAAAGGCGGCCATCACTCAAGGGATCTTTAAATGTAAAATGTAACTGATTGTGCCTTAAAGATTCATAGGTCAAGTAATGGCCCATAAGCACCAAGGTGACTAAGGTTCATTTTAGAGTATATAAGGCCCACAGAGATATCAACCTTAAAAATAGAAAACAAACAACTTGTGAAAATCTACTCCCTCACTGCAAATGTAATCCTCCAATCCTTGCTTTCCAAGGAATATTGCTTTTTCTTCACAAACAAGAGACTGATTCTTACACCATTCACTGAGAAAGAAAACAAACAAAAATTTTTAACTGGGTGGGTGGGTGGTGGACACATTCTTCTCATGCTTCAACCAATCAATTTTGATACCATGTAGACAAAAAAGAAAAGGCAGTATTGGGTACATGTATATATAACATATATACATACATTTATATAGTCAGTTTTCCTATAAAGTCAGCAGGTACAGGTGATCATTATTTTGATGTGTATTCCTACCATCTAAAATCATAATGGCCTATCTGACATGCATCAATAAATAAATTTAAAAAGCATGAGGTTAAAAAAGCTGAAATTAAATAGATTCTAGATTTGAATTTAGAATTAGAATTATGTATAGCTATGGCAATTTCTGCAAGCTTGTTTCTCAATTAAAAATACAAAAAAATAAAGCAGTAGATGGTTACGGTTCACATTATTCAACTATAATGTCCTCCTTAAGTGTATCTTTCCAAGGGAAGTGACTTTAGAGAAAGTCTGGACAAGCTCATTCACAGTGGTGAGATGTGCCCCTGGCCTGTCGCCGCCTTCTAGCCTCATCAGCCTTTGACCTCTGCAGCCTTTTGGCCTCAACACACTTATAGGTAGTCCTAGGTCACCAACTTAAAACTGTCTGAAGATTGCAAAGAATCTTTGGTCAGGGGAACAAAGATCCACCATGGAGCGCACAGGCCAGAGTTCTGTTTGCTACTTCTCTTTGGCAGCCGCCGATTCCTCCGATTGCTTCTTCACTACTAGCACTGACTAAGAGCCAAACAAACCTTCATCACTCATCTGAGAATCTTGCCCTCATGGCTTCAAACTTCACCAACATCGCTGGGTTACATGTGATTCACATTTCAGTTTTGTCTGCCACAGCTGCCACCAACATGTCAGGGCAGGCCTTCTAATACCAGAGGATATGGATTAATTTTACAAGTGACACGTAAGTCCCCACTAAGTTATACCTGCTAAGCTCCCAACCAATTTCAAGCTGTGCACTATATCAAAGTCTTACATTAGACTTTCAAAGAAAACAAAGTTCAAAACAAAACCCTTAGCACAGAACAAAGTTTTCTTCTTTTGTGGAAGGGGCACGAGGCAGAAGTCCTGTTTTTAAAGTATACAATAGCAGACTTTTGATTTAAAAAAAAAAAAAAAGATTGTCGTGGGAGAGAGATTATGTGTTCTACTGCTCCACTTTCCCCCTTCCCATAACCCCTCCCACCCCTGGGTCTCCCGCAAAGTCTTCTGAATGAAATTGTATTTATAGATACTTTACAAGGTTAAATAAGAACAATAATAAAAAAATTGAACACTAAAATGAACAGGTTTTTTTTTTCTCTTTTTAATTTTCTTTCCAAACGTGACCAGTGTTGCTGAGTGACACTCAAGTAACTGGTGGTTTTTCCTATGCAGCTGGCTGCTCGGGACTGTTCAGGTGGAGTTGGAAGCTGATGCAGAAGCGGCATTATTGGTCTGTCCACGGTCTCCAGCATTAGCATCTGAAATTGAAAGTTCCAAGGCACAGCATGAGCAATGCTTTGACATCCCAGAGAGAACAAGAACGCTGCCTCAAATGCACAATGAGCTGTGTGGCTTTCCAGGCTGTTATCTGGAATGTTGGTTTAAATGTGACCAATAGTAGGATGTGGGAATTTTTTTCTGTTTTGAGTGAAGTACATGCCTTGGCATGGTCTTGGTGGAGGGAAGACAAGAATATCTTTAAATAAATTACAGACTCAGGAAATCAGAGATCAATGCTCTTCCCACAGCTGGGATCAGTACTACATGGACAGTTGGAGTCTAGCTCACTTAAAAATAAATGAATGGTGCAGAGATGATAAATAAAAATTCTGCACCATGTTAGACTATGTCATCTGCTTAGTTGGGTGAATGGGTAAAGGCCATGAAAGTAATGTGGGTCAGTGTTGATAAGCAGAGGTAGGGTGCAAAAATCAAACTTACTTGTTTGTTTTCTAAGTACAGTCACTCTTCATTATTCAGAGATGGAAGACAGAAAACCAGCAAAAAAGAAAAGCCACTATAGCACCAATTCACTTATTCAATCCAATAAGGCATCCTGTATAGCCAAATATCTTCGCACTAAAAGCTTATCTTGCCTAATATCCTACAAATGCCTATAACTTTCTACTAGGCTTTGCTCCCTTTCCTCCTTTTAAAGATCCATTGTTATTTTATAGAATTCATTCACACTGAAGTAGACATCTAACTGTGTCCAGATTGGCTCTCCATTCTGGGTAGGCAACATACTGCCATTCTAGTGATTAACTGTCTGTATCTTACACAATGAGAATGCACTGCTGACCTGTCTCCCAACGATTTCACGTTAAGCCTGGAGCAAGAAAGGCAGCTTGACTGAGATGGACAACTTCCAAGAGCTATATTAGGAGCCACACTGCTCTTGGCCATCAGGGCTGGTGACCTCAAAAAGCAGACTTAAAAGATTTTTGTCTTGCTAGCACTGAAGGCATATATAATCTCCCATGTCCTATGATCAGAATAACCAATGTCATGGCTGAATGCAAATATGTGGTCCTGGATTGTTCTACTTTGAATTTCTGAATTAGAGTGAAGCGCTTAAGACTCTTAAGGATATACAGGAACTTAATATTTAAACTTTAGGATTAGCCATTCAGCTTATAATTACTATAGCTGCTCCATATAAACAATGTCTTTTCTAAACTTCTAATTTTTCTGGCCCCCAAACAATCTGCCCTTATATACACATAATTTGGTTTTGGAGAAGTAAGAGGGTACAGCGTGTAACTTGAATGGTTAGGTTAATTTTCCTCAAGACACCTCTAGCTGCTTCTAGTCCTATAATGTAAGGAAATGCACATCAAAGCCCTTACATCAGGTTCATATCCATGGAATGGAATCACCCTGACTCACTGGTATATGACATATGAATAGGTAGCAAGAGAAAGTATGTGACAAGCTGACAGCCTTTTCCAGTACTCAGCAAATCTAGTATTTCATGGGTGACTGCCTGGCTTTCTCTGGACGTGCTCTCTACAAAGTGAGTTTTACTGTTCATCACTGTCTAAATTCTGTTTACCAACAATTTGACATTAATTTCTGTCTAGATCACAGATTCCCCCAAGCCTCTCTCAGGAGAAACATTCACTTTCATTATTGAGGCACAGGTTGCATTAAAGATGACATTCCAGAGAAAACCTGGAAGGAGACATAACTATTTTGTAATTATAATGTTCTTCAAAAATCCATGCTTATTGTAGCATTTCCTGTGCTCTAGATGACACTCAGAACCTATGCATGGCCATTATCAAATAGCATTTCACTTACTTTTATCATCAGAAGATGACAGAACTGTCATTCTGATCTTAAAGCCAAGGATTTAAAAGAGGCACCAGTTACCACGATTTTTTTCTGTTTGACCACTATATCTGCACATACACAAGGACTGTGAACAGCAAACACCAGCCAAGGGTGACTTCAGTAAACACCTCACCTACAGAGTTACCTGCTTATTATCTTAACTTACTCTTTGGTAAAATCCTATCTACCTACTAATTTTCAGATGTCCTTTAACTGGCTACAGTCTGTGAGCTTATGACACTATCCAAACAAGTCTTCCCTTTCTTGAATAAATTCAGACTCTTTGCATGATTATATTAAAAGCAGTCCTTTGTATGAGAATATAACCAAAAATGAATACACTTTAGGAACAAACAATACAGTCTGACAGCCATATTTCTAAGGTTAAAACTTTAATGATCTCATGTTTTTCTCCAAAATTATTTCCAAATCATCTGACGAGTCAATTTTAAGAGCTAACTATTCTGATTACAAATATCCCTGACTTGAAGTCACATAGCAACTACTTCAACAACTGGGAAACTTTTTTTTTAAAGAAGTAACCAAAGAAACAAGTCTTGGTACATGCTGACTTTGTTCCTATTTCATTCTATCAATTTACATAAGTGAATCTGAATATGGCCCTTCTATAATAAAAATATTTGTTAATGTAAAATTCTTATAAATTATCATTAGATTCATTTTTTTGTAATTTCTGTAACTTTTTTCTAAAATACCTAAGCTGACTCTATAAAAGCTGCAAAGTTTATTTGACATCTTACATTCTCTTCCTTTAACATATAGGTGGTAAAAGTGATGCTACCTGACATATATGGCTTAAAGGATAGGCTAAGATCATTTTGATCATAAAGTATCTGACTATGCATAATCAACTGACTAGAGTCTTGCTTTTAGTCCAAAGGTGCTCTTCTCAGCTTCATACTGGTGTATCTTTCTTAGGCCTAATCCAAACATTTGATTTCTGAGACTACAATCTTACAGTTTTTGTACCAGATATTACAAATGGAATTTGTGCATGTATTAGAAACATTGGGGGATTGGGAGATAGGGTCCTGCTATTATGCCCAGGTCTCAAACTCCTGAGCTCAAGTCATCTTCCCGTTTCAGCCTCCTTGCGGAGCTACAGGACCATGCCACGGTGCCTGGCAAAAGCATCTGTGTTCCACAAGACGTCATGGGTAAAAATGAGAACCTGAGCAATCCTGTAGTGAAGTCCAAGGTGGAGCCCTTAACTATCAGGTACTCAAATGAGTGCACGAGGCTGTGATCTTTGTCCCAAAGTAAATTTTCATATGTAAACTTCCATATCTGGTACGCGTAATTTCTACCTATGTCTGGATCCAAACCTCCCTTTTTCAGAGATCAGTAAGCACTGTTAAACACTGACTAGAGTCATGGGTTAATGGTCAGGTCTCAGTACTGAGGAAACTGACCCACCTTGCTGCTCAGGGCATAAACAGCAAAGTTCTCTACTGGATTTCTCACTGTCTTCCTCACACCTCCCATCAGCAAGTCCTGTCTGCTCTCTCTGAATGGGGTTGATCAAATGTGCAAATGGGAATGCGAGGGAGAGAGTAAATGGAAGGTTTCACACTTAAAACTGTTGTTAAAGGGATTTAAAAGAGTAGAATATGGGCGTGATAGCACATGCCTACAATCCCAGCATTTAGGAGGCTGAGGCAGGAGCATGGCCGCCAGCCAGGCCTACACAGTTTAAGGCCACCCTGCACTACAAAGTGAGACCCTGGCTCCCTGCCCTACCCTGCCCCAAAAAAGAGATGACAAAGAATATACATAAATGTCAGGATTCCAAAGGCTCAGTATTCTAGAATTGCAGGTCTATAACGATAAAGCCTTCTACTTTATAGGAATGTTTACTATAGGGCCCAGAGGCAACAACAGAAATATTCACTTTGTACTCTCCCATATAGTACACTGGCTACTAGTTACACATGAGTGTTTCAATGGATTGAAATTGAATAAAAATTAGAATTTTATTTCTTATTTGCCTGACAAGCACATCAAGTTCTCAAAAGCTATAAAATTATTAACATTTTAATATTTCTATTATTAGCATAATAATTAGAAATGTCTCATGATAGGTCAACTCCTCTAAAAGATAACATTTTAGCAGCCTGATATATATTATTAATGCTTGGTTCTCACTCTGGATATTCCTATTCAAGATGTTCCAGAAGCTGCTTCATGTCTACTATAAAACTATGTCTTGCATAGCATGGTTATCTATGGCACAAGAACGAACAGGAGCACTCACAAGAATCAGAGTACTCTATACCCAAAACTTACATTTAAATTGCAACCATAATCTACACTAACGACAAAGCTCCACCTGTAAGAAGTCAATTGTCATAATGCCTACTAATCTTTGGATAACTCTGTGTGTGTGTGTATGTGTGTGTATGCTAATAAGGGAGAAGAGCAAAAATTCCCCAGCAATACATTATCAGTTTTTCTTTTTATATTATTTCTAGGGAAGTATGGGGCTCAAGATACCAAAGCAGCCTTCAGCCACTGCAAAAATGTAAGTGAAATTCAGATGCCTATGAGCCAGCACATCTTCCAGAATACACAGAGCGCCTATCAGTAAGACCAATAAGGCTGCTTATATCTGATGTGGTTTGGACAGAAAGGGCTCAGTTTCCTGTGAGGTCAGAAGTAGAGCACATTTTAATTAAGAGGTTGGATGTTTAAAGTAGGGAACTGAAGTTGACAGAGGTAACATTTTCTTTATATATATATACACACACATTTTTTTTTAGTCAAAATACCTGATTTGGGGGGAAAAAAAGCAGTTATATTAATAGAAGCAGGAGACTTCAGGCAAGCAACTGAGAAACACCTGGAAGAATGACTAAGGAAACACTAACATTTGCCCACTTAATCAAGATGATTTGAAATTATTTTTGGAGGAGGGGGATATATCAAATAACATTTTTGCACATAACAATTTTCTAGAATTGATGCCTAGCAATGCTCCGGTGAAAGTAATGACCTACCTAGTTCAACTTTTTAGGTATTCACATGCACACTCACAAAGTGAACTTGATACTCATATAGGGTAGATACAGTTTCACTAGTATCAGTGAGTTTGTTGAACTGAATAGTTTGAAATAGAAGTCTA